CAAAACAATTGACTCAGAATCCAGATTCAGAAGGGTTCTTTTAGATTTACAATTCAGATTCAGAATTGATATTACATTAAGAACTGTTCACTTCTATATACAGTCTATCTATATTTCAATTCAGAATTCCTATTCAGTTTGGATCCTTTAGATTCAGAATCCAGATTCAGAGTGGTTCTTTTAGATTTACAATTCAGACTCGGGATGTTTTTTAGATCCAGAATTGATATTGTGTTTCGAATTGTTCACTTCTATATAAAGTCAGTCTATATTCAGATTCAGAATTCAGATGGGATCATTTGGATTGAGAAATCGGATTCTGAGTGATTATGTTACACACAAACAGAGAATATACTGTGCAGATTTAAAGTGTTTCACTTGGGTTCTTTGTAGATTTTCAATTCAGATTCAGAGTGGTTCTTTAATATTCAGCACATCCATGCAGGTGTGTGTAATTGGAAGTGCAGTGAGCTGCATCAGCACATTATCTGTAAAACAATCGGTCTAAGTGTTGTCAATCATAATGTGTCTAGAACTGGCATAGAATTTCTTTTCTGCAAGCACTGGCTGCACCCCAGCTGCCTTGCATTAAACCAGCTCCAGAGTCAGTGTGTGTGTGTGTGTGTGTGTGTGTGTGTGTGTGTGTGTGTGTGTGTGTGTGTGTGTGTGTGTGTGTGTGTGTGTGTGTGTGTGTGTGTGTGTGTGTGTGTGTGTGTGTGTGAGAGAGAGAGAGAACATAGTTGCTTTTGACACTTGCAGTGAGAGAAGAGACTGCATCTGCATTCATCTGAGATTCAAAATGGCCTCCTGCAGATGCAGATGAAAGGGGCAGAGATGGGGAGATTGAATTTCCCTCCCAATTACAGCGTGTGGCCTCTTAGATCAGCCGTGCAGAAACATTTAATTACCAAAACCAATTACCCCAGTGGCAAATGTATCACAGTGAAAAATGCAAGGACTCACACACGAGGACTAGAGGACGCTGTGTATGGGTGTACAGCGAGTGTTTGTGCAGACGTGTGTGTGTGTGTGTGTGTGTATCAGTGTCCACTCAGCGTGAGATCTTGGGCTCTGTTTAAGAGCTTGTCGTGTCTCGTTCATCTCTGCATGACCTCTCATGTTTAGAGACTTAATAACTCTAAGAGGGCAATTCTCTCCCTCTCTTCTTCCCCTCCCAACAGTCCCTCTTTCTCTAGCCCTTAATCCCTCTCCTTTATCTTATAGCCAACTCACTTTTTAAAGGAGAAGTTCACGCCCCAAAATTATGTCATGATTTACTCATTCCAAATGTCATCCAATGTCATTATACGGACCATCTATGAGAATTTTCTTTTAGAATCTTCACACAGAAAATAATTACAAAAAAATCTACTGTATATGACTCAGGCACTATTTTCCAAGTCTAAAGAAATGTGTTAGCTTTGTGTGACAAACACACCAAAATTTGAGTTTAAATTAAGTTATTCACTGTTCATCTGCCCCTTCAGTGAACTATTCATTCAAGAACTGCTGTGATCAAATCATTATTTGAACTTCAGAATCGAATCAATGAACAAATAGTCATTTTGCTTGTTTTGTACCAATATACCAGCTGATCCATTTTATAAATCTGTTTGAACAATTCATTCACAACCCAGTTTGATTTGTTCGCGAACTGCGTGTTAAATCTGCATGACTTCACATTGACCTGTCAGAGCGCAAACCCAAATTAATGTTACAAAACTGTAAGGCAACAACAAACAACACCAATGAACAGAATACAGACAAACAAAGCAAGACATGAGTGCCTGAGTGGTTCACATACTGTAGAATCAGGGTCCAGATTTAAAGTGATTCTTTTACATTTACAATTAGAGTGTTGTTTGGATTCAGGTTCAGAGTGGTTCACATCTATATATATGCTATCTCTTCTCAATTCTTTAGATTTAGAATAAAGAATCAGAGTGGCTCATTTAGATTATAGATGCAAGAACTTACAGAAGTAAGAATTCAGGTTCAGAATGGTTCGCTAAGATTCAGAATCTATATTCTGAATGGATTTATTTGCGAACTGGACTGATTTGATCATGAAACGATCAGCCCCACAGTCTCACTGATTCAATGATCCAGTCACAGTGGTTTACAGGTCATTGTAGAGGATCATTTTATCATGTGCTTCAGATACTTGGAATATAATGCACAAGTCTGGACTACTTCCATGTTGTTGTTTTTTTGGTAAATTTGGAAGCTTAGCAGCAATGGTCATTACAAACTACTGTCACTGCATGAAAAAAAAAATCTTAAGTGTTAATTTTTTTTGTTCAATGGAAGAAAGTAAATGATACATATTTGAAACAATACATGGGTGAGTAAATGATGACAGAATGTTAATTTTTAGGTGAACCATCCTTTACCATCTTTCTTGTCCACTCTCTCTCTTACTGACCTCTTCACTCTCTCACTCCTCATCTATGTTGGTCTTTCTCTCAGTTTTCCCACCCATCCCTAGGGCAGACAGGTGGGAGAGTTGCTCGCTTTCTCTCTCTGTTCCTTTGCATGTCTCATCTCACTTGCTCTCTGTTGTGCTATTGTCTTATGCTCTGTCACCCAGATTCAATGTCAGGTGTCATTTTCAGTGTTAAATAAGTCATTTTCTCTCTTTTTCTCTCTTTTCTCACCTGGAGGGGATTAAGTCATCCTTCACTCTTCCCACACAGACACCTTTCAATAAAAACTCCCTTTCATTCTCATTGAAGTCAGACAAAATACCCAGCATTCCAGAAGACGAAGCAGAAAGGGTGTGTGAAAGGAAGATATCTGCAGTGGTCATGCGTGGGCAGCTGTGGGGACCGCTGGCAGCTTTTGACACCCTCTCTATTTTGCAGACAGCACAGAAAAAAAAATGATTTCCTGAAAATTTGCCACAGGCAGCTCTTGTGATGGCACCTTAGAGTGTGAGCAGGGGCACAAATAATGTGACTCGCACATATATACAAGCATTTAACATGAATAAATGTGTGTTGTTGTTTAACAGTGTTTTGTTGATGTAAGTGTGTGTTTGTATGGGTCAGGTTTTGCCTACATTGCAGGGACCAGCCAATGTTGGTTCTACAATGAATAACTCAATAAGCATATTAAATAATGTCTGAATAATGAAAATGTAAAATAAAATAAATAAAAATGTAAAATGAATAAAAACGCTAAAATAAAAAGCATAAATTTAAATATTTTAAATAAAAATGAAATAAAATAACAACAATATAACCAAAAAAACAACAGACAAACAAATGTGATGGCTATCTATTATTGCCCAAAAGTGAGCAAAGAAAAACTTCTCAAAATTAATAAAAAAAAAAAATACATACATATATAGATGCCACAAGGTTATATATATATACACTCACCGGCCACTTTATTAGGTACCCCATGCTAGTAACGGGTTGGACCCCCTTTTGCCTTCAGAACTGCCTCAATTCTTCGTGGCATAGATTCAACAAGGTGCTGGAAGCATTCCTCAGGGAGTTTGGTCCATATTGACATGATGGCATCACACAGTTGCCGCAGATTTGTCGGCTGCACATCCATGATGCGAATCTCCCGTTCCACCACATCCCAAAGATGCTCTATTGGGTTGAGATCTGGTGACTGTGGAGGCCATTTTAGTACAGTGAACTCCTTGTCATGTTCAAGAAACCAATTTGAAATGATTAGAGCTTTGTGACATGGTGGAAGTAGCCATCAGAGGATGGGTACATGGTGGCCATAAAGGGATGGACATGGTCAGAAACAATGCTCAGGTAGGCCGTGGCATTTAAACGATGCCCAATTGGCACTAAGGGGCCTAAAGTGTGCCAGGAAAACATCCCCCACACCATTACACCACCACCACCAGCCTGCACAGTGGTAACAAGGCATGATGGTTCCATGTTCTCATTCTGTTTACGCCAAATTCTGACTCTAACATCTGAATGTCTCAACAGAAATCGAGACTCATCAGACCAGGCAACATTTTTCCAGTCTTCAACTGTTCAATTTTGGTGAGCTCTTGCAAATTGTAGCCTCTTTTTCCTATTTGTAGTGGAGATGAGTGGTACCCGGTGGAGTCTTCTGCTGTTGTAGCCCATCCGCCTCAAGGTTGTGCGTGTTGTGGCTTCACAAATGCTTTGCTGCATACCTCGGTTGTAACGAGTGGTTATTTCAGTCACTGTTGCCCTTCTATCAGCTCGAACCAGTCTGGCCATTCTCCTCTGACCTCTGGCATCAACAAGGCATTTCCGCCCACAGAACTGCCGCTCACTGGATGTTTTTTCTTTTTCGGACCATTCTCTGTAAACCCTAGAGATGGTTGTGCGTGAAAATCCCAGTAGATTAGCAGTTTCTGAAATACTCAGACCAGCCCTTCTGGCACCAACAATCATGCCACGTTCAAAGTCACTCAAATCACCTTTCTTCCCCATACTGATGCTCGGTTTGAACTGCAGGAGATTGTCTTGACCATGTCTACATGCCTAAATGCACTGAGTTGCCGCCATGTGATTGGCTGCTTAGAAATTAAGTGTTAACGAGCAGTTGGACAGGTGTACCTAATAAAGTGGCCGGTGAGTGTATATATATATATATATATATATATATATATATATATATATATATATATATATATATATATATATATATATATATATATATATATATATATATATATATATGCATGTGTGTGTGTGGTCCTGGTAAACCCTACATTGTGGGGGAAAATGTCTCCACAAGAATGGCAATACCAGAAATCTTTGACCTTGTGGGGTCATTTTTTGGTCCCCATGAGGAAAACAGCTTGTAAATCATACTAAATTATGTTTTTTGAAAATGTATAAATGCAGAAAGTAGGAGTTTGTACAGTATAAAAATATGTCTATGTAAAGTCCTCATAAAACATGAAAACACAACGTTTGTGTCTCTGTGTGTGTACGCGCATTTATACAAATTTATAAATTTAAATAAATAAATGTGTGAGAATATCCACTCACCTCATGTTTTCCCTTCATTCTACAGATTCTGATGTCATTTTTGTTGGATTCCCATGTCCTCTTCTGTAACAGAGGGAACGTCAGTAATGAGTGACTGTTCATTTCCAGCACAAAGTACGTTTATATGCGTGTGTGCGTTTCTGTTCTCACCTTGCTGTAAAACATCTCTTCTCCCACCACGTTGTCCAGCTCCACTCGGAAAAGGTCATCTCTGACACAAGCACAGTGAGAGAGAAAGAGCGAGAGACTGTGAACCACCACATAGCAGTAAGAACACTGCAAAACAATCCTTTTCTTAATCAGAAATGTCAGAATTAAGATCAAACTTTTTTTTTTCAGTGAACAAATATCTTAAATCCAAAGTCGTCGACCTCACACACTGAAGCATAATGTGTATTCTTCAAATGTTTGACAAATTGATATTACATTCTTGTTCCTACATAAATTCACCCAGATACGCCGTCTCAGTGCAAGCACTCAGTTAAACGATTCACCACAGCCCGTCCTACATAATCACGATTCTTTGCATTATGATATGCCTGATTTCCCCTCCATAATTCATAACCCACCCCCACACTGCATGCATGTTGCATGCAGCTTCTCATCTTGAACACAGCATCCAGTGCTTTAGCACTTCCTGCAACCACTTTAATAATCTTTCTATAACCTTGTGGCGTCTATTAAAGTCTCTATATGAATCTGATCTCTTTTAATCATGGCGTGTTTGGTGTTATAGAGTATCCAAGTTTGTGCCTGAATATTGATCCAAGGACTAAGAGCTGCCGTGCGGCCCGATGAGAGAGCACTGGAGAATTTCAAATCATGAGAATCTCTCTCTCTCTCTTTTTTTTCTTCTGAAATGTTGTAATCTGTGAATTTGCAAAGCTCACAGACCAGCCCATGTTCTTGCAGTAGTATTGATCTTATCTTTCACAGACTTCCATCTGCATCACTGCTCTGTGGACACATCAACAAAAATGTAGACTGTATGTATGTGTGTGTTTGTGTGTTCTTGAAGAGAGTCTGATGAGATGGACTATAAATTATTCAATCCCTCTGTGTGGTTTGTTAAAATGAATCCCCCTTGGCCATTCCCTCTCTGAGCAGGGCGGCCCCTAAGTGCCCTGGTTAAAATTATCATACACTTACACAGTGCTTGCCTTATTTAGAGAGCACAAACTTTAAGCAGACACAATAATTCAAGCAGTAAAGCAAAGCTGGAGGTCTGTTTGGAGTTCAACAGTACTGTCACATTTACGTGAACATAAAAACAGGCTTTATAGTTGCACAAGGTTACCAAAAAACACAGATGGTTTGGACAAGACATGCAGGCCATTGGCAAGAACAGAACACACATGGGCCAGTAAAAACTCTTTCTTTTTCAGTCCCTCCATTTGTACCTTTTCTGTTCTCTGTCTCTTTCTTGATCTCGTAAACAAACTTTACTTTTTATCTTCTTTCAAAATTTCATCATGTAACAACTTGCATAGTGTGCAATGGAGATAAATAACAGGGTCTCCATCTAAATATTGTAATGTGAACTTAAAAATGCTAGATGGAAAAAAAGCAGGCAGCAAACAGGATACAGAATTGCAATTTGAAGGAAGTAGAATTCAAATTCAAAACTAGCAATGTCCAGACAAACTTTGATTGTTGGCTTAAAGCCTTGTTTAATGGTTTTGAAAAGGTTTGGGATGAATGCATTCCAATTGACTTCCTGTCTGATGTGGACAATTCATTTTAAATGTACACTTATGAATGGCAAGGGAGACTATTCTTCGATTCTGAATTTTGCACAACCCTAGCAATAAACTTATTAAAAATTCTGATCTTTCCAAGTTTTTACTTTTAAAGAGATCAGAATTGCAATTTTTACCTGGCAGATCTAGTTCCTTTTCTTACCCTCTATCTCTTTTTAGCTTTCCCTATTTGATTTTGGGGGGTGGGGGGCTGACTATATTTAACATATAGGAGACAGCTAAAAGAGTAAGTGTATCTGTAAATTGCAGTGCTACGGGAGACGCGGGAGGTCTCACACCGTTCGTCCCATGCCCTACGGCATCTGTGTGACAGCCCGGACGGCAGCTGAGTCCTTGATTTCTCTGCACCAGTAGAGGCTGTACGTCAGTCAGGCTGTTTCCATGACCTCAGAGGTCAGCCGGAACCTGTCCCGCACCGTTAGTGACAGGTTCGAGGGTAGAATGTGTTGAGTTTCACTCCTGAGCTTAATTGAAAGACTTGACCTCTCGATGAGGTCAAACACAACGAGGTGGCTGAGGCTTGATTTAATGTGACTTAACCAGGTCGCCGCTGGCAATTTTAGTAGCCCTCCTTTAGTTACTCGGAACATTAATTATGTATACAGATCACAAAAGAAACACCTCATTTGTCTTATAGGTGTATTTATTTATGGCTTGGTCTGAATTTCCCCCCCCTCCAGGTCTGAGGCTAGATTGCAGTCGCTTGCGTTGAAGTCGAGAAATTTCTGGAGGAAACCAAGTGTGTTTAAAAAAAATACTTCAGTCCTCTCATCCCTGACCAGGTGTTGCAAGGTAATACTGTGAGGGGGCTGAGAGGCTGGTCGCTTTCTTGGGGCAAGTTCATGAGCGGTTATGCTAATGCTAACAGGATTTAACCCGTCTGCACCCCTTATCACACTTGAGCACACCGTTTCAGACTTTATTCAGTCAATCCAGGCTGTCTATATCCTTGACTTGAAACATCACTGACTCTCTCCCTCTCCTCTATACAGTATTGCCTCCTTTTTATTTCACTCGATGTTGCCGTTGTTATTGAATGCTCCCTCTTGAGTCATCGGCTAAATAAATCTTCTTTTCCACTGAGGTCATTTTCTGTTGGCTACGGCAAACACCTCCATTTACTTCAGACACTGATAGGTACATACGGTTTACTGACTGCACACAGCGGGGCTTGAATTTCATCGAATTACGCCGGCCACAGTGGCACCACATTGGAAAGCGTATGCGAAACAGTTGCTCGTTTCTGAGTTGAGCTTCTATAGGCCAAAGACTTCTGGCCTTTTTTATGTGAGCTTCTAGTCTGGGCATCTTAAGTCATATGGCGCTTTGTGATTTATATTTATTTTTGAGGTTTAATTTTTGACACGGTCGAGCGGGCAGGTCATTTCCTGACACGTATGAGAGACTTTATTAGAGTACGACGCCTCCCCCGCCGGACCCCTACAAATTTCGGTAACTATCACCATATGTTTGAACTCTCCCAATGGACATGCCAGCCATTTTTGGGAAGCATGCTGCAAAAATGCACAAAAACAGCTTATTTTTCTAAAGCGCCAAACCTAATGAAGTTTTATTTTTGTTTATCTATTCCAAACCCCCGGCTCCTGTGGGGTAGAAAAAAAATGCAAGAAAGCAAAAACATCATTGACTTCGTGACCTCTTTAAAGCCCCACAATGGCCTAAAATCCTAAAAACACTACAGGTGTCCAATATTTACATTTATAAGTTATAACCCAATACCACTAAAACAAGAAACACATCATGCTTCTTAAAGGGACAGTTCACAATGTCATTCCAAACCTGTATGATGTTTTTCTGAGGCTTACACAAGCTATTTTGAAATAGATATGATTAAGCTAAATTATTACTTGAAATGTTCAAACAACTATGATTTTATAATATAAAACAAAACCATATAAAATTAAATAAAGTACAATTATTATATTCAAATTAATTAAAATGTGAATTAAAAATTAAACAACAATTGACATCATCACAAAAAACAAAGATATTTTGTCCATACATTGAAAGTCAATGGGGTTGAAAACAATAATAATAATAAAAAATAAAATAAAACTTTTTTTGTGTTCTACAGAAGAAATAAAGCCATACAGGTTTGAAACTACACAAAGTAAATGCTGGCAGAATGTTAATTTTTTAGTAAATTATCCCTTTAAATAGCTTTGAATTAAAATAGCAATTCAGACTTTTGATCTCAAAAGAGATTGTTTTTGAATGTCACATAATTTGCTTAAACACACATCTCCATGCAGATAATTACAGATGCCGGTGTAACAATAATTACAGGGTACGCCCATGCTAATCAGCATTATTTCACACCCTACCTGGCTCCGATGTAAAGGGTACGGTTGACCTGCAGAATCCTCTGAATGTGTAAGGGCTCCTGTCTGAGCGATGAGCGATGGGGTCGTCCGAGAAACACAGGATGCCTTCTTACCACTAAAGGAAAACGAGGTAGAAGAGACAGTGAATGATAAAGAGACAGGGTTGACAGAGGGTTGTATCATCTTTTCATTGCACTTATGGGTGTGGGAGAGGTGATCCGTTAAGGCGAGAGGCGTTCGATCACTTGCGAGTCACTCTTGAGATAAAAATGTTTATTTCAGACAGCTGCCTGTGGTTGCTCTTCAGTGGTTTTCACAGATAAAGTCTGTCCTCATACGTTCGGCTTAGTCAAGTAGTGTTGTTACCAGAGGAGTAAAATGTAAACAAAAAAAATATACTTATCCAGAAACCGGTTACCTGAAATATTTAAACTTAAATTATTCAAACAATGAATAATATCTGGTTTTATATTTGAAAAAACGAGTATTCCTTGAATTAGGAAAGGATCAAGGTAAGATTAGGGATATAAAAAAAAAAATGAATGAGAAAAAATATAAACAAACAAACAAAATTGGCATTATTAGCATGTCATTATTCTTTACATGAAAATATATTGTTGCCTTTATCTTTTAGAAATTATCCTGAAACCTTAAATTGTTAAATTCATCAAAAAACTATATGATTTTGTTTGATATTTTAATGTAGTTGTATCCGGAAGAAGGAAAGCATCAGGGATAAAATTAAAGCTAAATAAATGTAATATTAGAGTACAGTAAAATTAAATAAGCATCTAATTGTAATGAAAAATAATAAAACAACAAACTTTTAACTGTTAATTGTTTATTTACATGAAAATATATATATATAGCTAGCTATATATAGCTAAATTTATCTTTTAGGACTTTTAGAAAGAGGGTACATCAAGCTCTCGATCATAAAGGTGCGGTCACATTTATCATTGCTTGCCGAAATTCACAGGCAAAATCCAGATTTTCTCAAAATAATACATTATAGTAATGAAGTACAATTACTTAAGTACTTTATATCCCTGTTTGTTTCTCTCATCCTGTATCTGTTCCTCTCTCAGTATGTGATGAGACCCTCTCTGGAGCTACCCAGCTCCTTGTATCTTTCTTCTCCTACTCCGAGCTTTACAAAATCCCTTGCTTTTCTCATCTTTCACCTTAGATAGACCTGAATGAGTTAAGCTGGGTTGCATGGAATCAATATTATTGATCTGTGATCAATCACATGCCTGCTCTGCATAAGAAAGTGAAAGCTGAGAGCCTGACAGCGCAGACGGGGTCCAACCCTGATCCTGACTGACTGCATGTGAAATGGAGACATCGTTACCTTCAGTAGGGATGAAGTTCAGAGGTCCCGGTTCCTCGGGGAAGACCGCACACACCAACCGCAGGAGCCAGAAGAGCCCGATGAAAGGTTTGGCCACAGTCGTCATGGCAGTGGAGCTCCGGCACTATGAAAAGAACATGCAGAAAAGAGTCAGGTGAGGTGGCAATCTAGCAAGATTTCTAGTTACATTCACTTTGTGAACAAAACTACCACTCTAATAGACTCTAAAGCATCTCTATCATCACCCCAGAGATTAAGATCAGCAATTAAGTCATCCACCAATAGAATTCGTGTCAGTCAGCCCTAATGGTCCATTCGATGTGGTGTGTCACAGAACTGTCATCAAAGACATAGGACCCAGGACTGAACTGCCTGGACGTCTAACAAAAGGGCTTCACACTGAGCCAGAAATGGGGAGGGGGTCAAAGCATGTGTGAGTGAGAGGCTCTGTTTAAAAACCTAGAGCTGCCCTGCTGTCTACTGCCTACATAGGCAGAATCTTAACCGAAATGGACATAGAAATGACTGATTTGAAATGCTCTACATAGGAAGTATCCTGTAGGGATTTTTAAAAAGTCTGTTGTGAAAGATTTATAAGCCTTGAACTAAATCAACCAGCTATGAGGTGAATCACCACATTGCTAACTTTGATTTGAAGAAAAAAAGTATTTGAAACTTGAATAATAAAAAAAAAGAAGGTAAAAGACTGGGCACTTAACAGGTTTAAAAAGGGACAGATCTAGAATGCCATGAAACATTGCGAATGACAATCAAATTAAAAATGACAAATAAATATAAAACTATAAACGCTAAAGTGTTTAGCATGAATTGCTTGTCAAGATTCTCTGACTGGTGGAAAATAATCATGGATAATGTAGTTTTTCACCAAGAATTCCGCTGTTAAACATGATTTTTTTTTCCAAAAAGTTTCAATGAAGCTGACTGATGGGTTCCAAAAAAAACCTTGATAAACGACCTTGTAGCTCACAGTAGTTTTGTTTTTAAATTTTTATAAATTATTGTTCAAAATCAGTTCTCATATGGAGGCAATGAATGGGATTTTTGGATTTCTGGAACCCGACTGTTGCACACTATTGAGTTTGGTGTTACCACATGTTATTAAGTTAACAATGTCATACCATAATCTGATGATCATAAAAATATACAGTAGACACAAATAATTAATTTAACTATAATCCTATTTTTCATTCAGCGCAAAGAAGTGTCAATAAAAACAATCTATTTAAAAAAACATATATTTTTTACATCAGTTCAACTTAGATTTTGGCCAGAACAAACTTATTATTTTAAGGCTCACATATAATATACTGTAGGTAGTCACTACGGGTTTTTTTTTTTATTACAAAACTTTTGTGTGCCTGCATATGTGTGCACTTGAAAAAATAACAACAAGTAGAGATGGACTTTTAAATTGGATCTCTTAAAATATGATATCTTTTCAGATCTTCTTCCCTCTTGAAAAAAGATGGCAGAAATAGAGAAGATGTGATGGAAACACAAATGTCACTCAAATTAAAGTGCAATACAATCTATGTGGAAAATTACCTCTGCACTTCAGAGGCACAGAGAAGCTCTAGAGAACTGTCACAATAGTATTTTCTGTAATAGTCTAACGTAATGGTACTGTCTGAAAAAGGGATTTCAATGGACAGATGAGACATGTATGCTTGTGTGTATCGTTTACTGGTTTGAAAGACACCAACGGTATTTTAATAGCTAAAAAAAAAAAAACATACGTAAGATTGATGCATGTAGTCAATACACACTTCAATTGTCCAACAAGAAAAATGGCGTCAAATTCTCATGTTATTCCAATGCCTTTCCTTCTTCTGTGAAAAACAAGAGAGGGTATTATAAAGAATGTTTTCACTGTTTTTGTCCACACAAAAAAAGTCTCAAATGATGTCCACCTCATCATTGGAAACCATTGACTTTCACAGTTTGGTGGTGGTGGTGGTGGGGGTCTTTTGTGTTTCATCGAAGAAAGAGATTCATTGACTGAAACGACATGAGGCTGAACAAATAATGAGAGAATTTTCATTTTTTGGGTAAATAGCCCCTTTAAACTTCAATAATTATCTTTTTGGCTTGATTAAGTCAGAAGGAACAGATTAAAATGGAAGAGTTCAAGAGAATTTAACAACTTCACAGAACATAACAGAAAGCCATGCTGACGGGAACATAAAGGGCCAATCATGGGGAAAAAACTGAATTTATGAAAAGACACAGCATGCTTTTCATACCTAATGAATGTACTGTTCAATGAACTGTTGTATTTGAACAAAAGAATGGCTGGAAAACCTGGGAAATTACAGTTGTCATGTGTTTCTGATATATTTTCTACAGTGGTCAGTGGTTTCAATAGCATGAAACTCAATATAAGAATGAATAATCCCTCGCCTTGAGTGTTAACAAGCTGAGAACATTTGCTTTGAAACTTTAGTGGAAATGCTGTTTGTTACAGTCACAGTGCAAACATAAACAAATCAGTGTCAGTTGAGCTTTTCGCCACCGCAGCGCTAAGACGACACGTACATGTATTAATATCTGACAGCCTCAATTTCTTTATTCAAAAAAACCCTTCTCATTTTCCTGTGGCTAAGCACCAATTGAGTTACACAATGCAAAACAGCCAGCTCTCATTTGTCAAAGTGTGGCCTTGCTGTCCAAAACGCACACATGTACATGTACACACACACAACTACATCCATTGTGGGTCTATTTCTATAGTGAAACGACTTGTGACGTTTTATCAGGGCTAACTATCTTTCCAGGACATTTCTAGAATTCCTCCTATTGAAGTCTGAACAAGGCTGCCCCACACACTAATAGTTCAACACCCAATGCAGCAAATTATGCTCAACAATAGGCTTACATGAAGGAGAAGAAAAAGAGAAAATGAAAAGAGGCCAATTGGGGAATGAAGGCAGACAGAACAGGATAGCTAAAACTAGAAGACACTGCCATAAGTTGGTATCAGAGATTCTATTGTCTAGCTACAATTAATCATTTACGAGTATGCGATAGGCCTCACGCATTTAATTAGCATAATTCGAAACTCTGAGCTATAGAGTTTCAGGGGACAGCAAGCTAAACAGATGCGGAGGGGGTGAAGTAAATACAAGCTTGGATATAACTTACACCATCCCACTTTTAATTATGGCAAATGTTTGGTGGCAGAGTTAATTTCAATTTCAATAGCAATCCCTACAATTAGGAATTTCATGTGAAGGCGAAAGATTTCCATACTGATTTTGCCATTTTACCACAGGTTTGAGTCGGTCATGCAAATTCACAGTGCTGAACAACAGAAAGCTGCTTGGTTTAAAATGACTTTTGTGTGAACTATACTTCACATATCACACCTTTGACAGACAAAGGACCCTTTTTGCCCATTAAATGTATTCGTTCAAGGACTTGTGAAACACTGGTTGTGTTGTATGTGTTTGACTCACTAAAAAAAACTGACTCATAATAATCATTAGTTCAGAAATCAGACTGCACTAGCTGCACTGTATGTGTTTGATTCACTAAAAAGAATTGACTCATAAGAGTCATTAGTTCAGGAATGAGATAAACCGGTCACACTGTATGTATGTGTTTGATTTACTAAAAAGAACCAGCTCGAAATAGTCTTTTGTTTATGAATCAGACTACAATGATTGTGTATGTTTTGCGCAAAAATCGTAATCAGAACCAAATGGCCTGGAAAGATTGCCAATGTTAAGCCAGCAGGTAGTCCACATCCAAACACATGCCATTAGCTGAGCCAGTTGACACTTCAGAGAGCTCAATCAAACAGAGCAATGTTCAAAAACCCACAGCACCAGTGTTTACTCTCTTAGGAAAACAGACATAGAAAAAAAACCCTAACTTTTAGTAATTAGAAAAACTTTAACACAGAAAAAAATATACACATCACTTTTAATTCATATTTGGCTCAACCAACAACAATAGGATTCACATGCCTCTTTAGAGCTTCCCCGTCAATGAAATTACTAACGTTTGAGAAGGTAATTATCTGAATGGGGTCATTAAGATACCGTGAGAGGAGCACGGATGGGGCGGCATTATCTCTGACCGACCATTGAGAAGCTGTTACTCAAGATAACAAATCACTTAGCTAATCAATAATAGCTCGGTAGCGTAGGCTGCTTAATGAACTCTGATCTACTGCCAATAGTCTGAGGAATGATTGGTCAATTGAGACCAGAGAACGGAAAAAAACAGTGGACGTGACAACTCAAAGCTGGAGATCATGAGTAGAATGAATAACTGCCTACCGGAAAGCAGGTCTCCATGCTAATGCCAAGCTGCATCCTGGGAATTTCAAGGACGTTAAACCTAGTTAAAATTCAAATATTTTGTGTATGAATAAGATTATTATGAGCCCTATCCCTCTGCCTTTAGAAGGCATAATGTTCTGATGATATGTATTCTGGGTAAAAGAAGAAAGGCACTGATTTCATTAAGGACCCCTGAGGGATTTGAACACGATAAATCATCTAAGGATTTCAGAGCAAACTTCATTTATGTGTGTCCCAGATAAAATACTGATAATGAGTGTAGAGAATGGCATTAATGACTTGAGAAAAGTGATCAGTAATAAAGGGCTGAATTAACGCATACATTATCAGACCCAGCGATCAGAGAGAACAGAAATTAAACCACTATCTGACAATTGCTTCTAATTTGTGAATTTGAAGGTAAAGAATGTCTTGATGCATTTAAACAGCTACAGCAGATCATAATCTATAATCGATCGATTCCCTTACATAAGGCCTCGAGAGCATATTTTCATGTTCCAAGCAACAGCAACAGAACATTTGTTATAGGAGACTGCTTCACGGCTTGGCCTTGACCTCTCATGAAACTCACACTGTGACCTCATGTTATCAGATTTGCCTTAAAGGCTCCAGGATGCAAACCATGTTGATCCACCAATCATCCAACATAATTTTTTTGGATCTCTCAATAAAATTTAATAATCAGCCATTTTGCTATCATTTTGATTCCAGTTTATCACAAATGATTTATGATGTGAACTTCCAAATGGAGTCAAGGCAAAGCAGGATTATGTATATAGCACATTTCATTCAACAT